TTATAACAAGAGTGTGGCCAGCCAGTGACTGTGTACACACTGGCAGTCTTTTCTTATCATAACATGACACTCCTTAATGTATATAATACATGAGAGAGGGAGGGAGAGAGAGGGAGAGAGAGAGAGAGGGGGGTGAGAGGGAGAGGGAGAGAGAGAGGGGGAGAGGGAAAGGGAGAGGGAGAGAGGGAGAGAGAGGGGGGGGAAAGAGAGAGAGGGGGGGGAAAGGGAGAGAGGGAGGGAGAGAGAGGGAGGGGGAGAGAGAGAGAGAGAGGAGGGGGAGAGAGTGCGTGCGTAAGTGAAGAGTTTAAGGAGACATGTGTGTGTCTGGAGAGCACGATGTGTTTATATGAATGTACAAATGTGACATGCTCTCCTACATCACTACATTACTCAATTATGATAATGAGATATTTATGGCATTGCAGTACAGGAGATAAGAGCACATGCATAGACCTAGAGCTACAACAATATCAACATGCACACCTAACCCAAGACACCACCATGTGCGTATGTGTACACGTACACACTGAACGACGTGACTAAATTATACATTTTATGCTAATAATGATAATTTAAGAATTATAATTAAGGTTCGTAGTATACTAATGCCATGAAAATGCACATATAGTGTGCAAACATCTACACAAACATAATAATACTCATATTACCACAAACTGGATATCACTGACTCACATACATGTACATATCAATGATAAGACGTACGTGCCTACATGTACATGCATGCAATGAAACAAAATGAGCAATGAGCCTTGAATAATTGCTGGCATGAAATATTCCAATAATTAACAATCATGCAGTAATACAAGTACATGTATATGCTATGCACAATACATGCACATGTATTATATTGTACGTGTACATGCAGTACATCGTTACATTGGACACAAGCGAATGATGCACGTGTAGGCATCCCACCACATAAAGAGAGTGGAGGATAGCGCTAGGAAGCACGACGCACAAGAGGAGAGACAGTTGTGTCTCAAACGAGACATAGACAAACTTATCTCAATGCCAAAGACGACCACAAGAGCAGCAAGGACACAAAATAAGTGGGTGAAGGAGAAGGAGAGGGACATATACACATTATTTCTAACCCATTGTTTAAGAGTAAGAGTTTAGACAACACACAAGATGGAGTGAGGCAGAAAGAGACAGGATATGTCTGAGGAGAGAGGATCGAGACACATTATATGTCTAGAGGCATGAACCCTCAGCTTAACTTAAACAGAGTACAACGTGTGGTTAGACTAACAAGCCAATTTAAAGCAAATGAGGGGCCAGCTATGACTAGAGGCTGGGCACTCTAGACATTGGAACAATACTGTGTGTGTGTGCTTGCTCCTGAGAATGTATGTCCTCTGCTGGTGAGAGATTGAATGACTCAATGAAAATGAGTGTGTGTAGGTTAGGACTGCATAGCCCAATAATGAGGTAATTATCATTGAAGAACAGTACAAACAATAGGCTGGGTCATGTTTGCATGTACCAAGGCTCTGCCTAGAAATAAATTAGAGGTGGTTGGAGGCTAAAATTGTTCCTTTTAAATTTATATCCACCACCATACTAGCAGACTACAATATCATGCTTTATGTATGGTTATTAGTATTAATTGGATGGTTGGTCTAAGTGATGAACTGGTTGGTTCATTTGTTGAGGTGGTTGCTCCCAACCACCCACGACCACCATAGGCAGAACTACATGTATGCACACGTACATGCACATCTGTGTTAATAAGAGTCCTAGCTAAATCACTGCACAAATAAGTACTGTACATCAGGCAGCACATAGGAACTATACTGTATGCCTTCTATTGGAGAAACCCATCCAGCTCCATGCAGCCATAAGCTAGTATACAAGGTGGTTCACCCATACGTATATGTACACAGCATATATACGTACATATAAACACCATATGTGCAGTAGTTGTACTTGTCCGACTATAAACCCACAAATACTTCCCCCACAAAACAGGCAGCACTTGTTTGTCTCAGATAAAGCAAACCTTTTAAACAGATTAAGAGACTGTCAGGAACAACAGTGGACTCTAGCCCACCAAAACACTGCTAAGAAACCATACCACGGACCCCTCTATCCCTGTATTACTGCATACGTGATACTGCATGCAAGAGGAGAGAATACATACAAGTGACATACACATATATGTATTTATGTGTGTGTGTGTGTGTGTGTGTATTAAAGCCACGCATGTCAGTGTTGTTGTATTTGTATGTGTGTGTGTTTACTGGCAGCCAGTCCTATAGGCTCTTAAGGAATTGCTAGTACAATAAACCATATCTAATTGGGACAGTCTCTGGGCGTATGATCGAAGGATACGACCTTCACAAATAAATAAATATAAACAACAATGATGATGATGATGAAGCTTTAGAGGAAGGGGATTCCAAGAACAACTGCCCAAATAAAGGTGGAAACCTGGGGAAGTGTGGCCCGTCGTGAGAAATATGCTGCATACTTATTATAACGGAAAACATCTGAAACTGATAATAATAATATTAATTCATAATATAATAATAATAAGTACATGTACATATACTGCATTGTACCAAATGTAGATTATACTGCATGACGCTTAAATTGATATAATTCAAGATTCTAAGGTGGAATCAAGCTCCCCTGAACAAATGGACACACACACATACACATGCACATAAACAGGTATAACTGGACTCTTTCTTCCACACACATACACAGAAGCAACCACAGAGACATAAGGCAGACAAGTGCAGTAACATAACCACAACACACGCTGGCTACCATACGACCACACATACTCTGACACACCACACAAACTTCATGAATCAGCTAAGAGACCATGAAAATACTATACAACTATAAAATGAATTCTATTCATCCAACAATTAAGTGCTATGCTCGCTCTTTCTCTCTTTTCCTCAATTGCTGCTGCATGTACATGTACATCTCCCTCTTTCAGTTTCTCTCATCTTCACTGCTCGTGATTCTAAAAGTAATCCCCTCATTTATTAGCTCAATAATGAGGAAGTGCATTACTAGACATACACACATTAAACGCTGAAAACACACACAGGCATGTACATGCACAATCATGCATGTACATGTACTGTACATGTACGTACAAAGCTACATGTACATAGCACATGCAATTATATGTACATGTACATGCATGCTTGCTTAATCACAATACATAGCTACACAGCATGGATACATATTAATGAATATTTTTACCAATTAAGGTTAGGCCTGGGGCTACAATTGTCTCTTAAGAGAAAGCAAAAACAAGAGATCCAATTACCAAATATAGGCTCAGCTCATAATTAGGAGAATCATGAAGAATGTGATGAGATGCAATAACAAACAATTACCAGTCATTGAC